CAGATACTAGGCTCTAAGACACATAAACGTTTTTCTCTGTTTCTTCTAAATTTTACAAATTAGTTTAAATGTTATAACATCGCAAAATTACGATTTTTATAGTGTGTTAGTTGTTGTTGATAAGTGCAAAGAAGTCCTTATTGATCTTTTTCAGCTACAGAAAGTTTGCGGCCAATTCGAGTTCTTGTATTTAGTGTAATAGTTACATCCCTTATATTTTCTTTTATAAACGCCTGTGACGTTTGTTCATGTTGTAAATAATTGGCTATTCGTCAAAAGGTACTGTCTCACATGGTGTTCATAGTACAGATTACCTTTTTCTTTGAAGAACTATAATGTCAATTCTCATTTCATTTTTTATCATATGTTGTGATTTGTTTATGTTTCAGTTCCGAAGTACTCACAGCTGTAGCTCGCGACAATGACAAATTCCGTTGAAAAATCAGATGATTCTCAAAGTGATGGCACAGTTCAAAGTTCTGATCGCGAAGAACCGTGTCAGTTACAAGAAAACAAGAATCCGATAAGCGAAAATTTAACAGCAGCACAAAAGGCTGACACACCGATTCGAAAAAGCACTAAATACACCGAACGACATTCCGGCGAACATGCAGATTTGTACGTTGCTTTAAGATGCACATCCAATCAACTTAGAACGCGTACTAATGTTAGTACAATCATCAATCTTCGAAATTATCTTGATCCGTATACAAAAAACAATCTAAATTTGGAAAATGGAAAATTACCGAACGGATACGACGTGGATCATATACATGAAGTTCAAGTTCTAATTTATGCTGTTAACGAAATTAAGGCGTTTTCGACTAAAACAATCGAGTGCTTGCGTGCCGAAGTTAACGACGTCTCGAATCTGGTTATTACTACTTGTGGTGTTAATCGATCGAAAGGCCAGGCTATGAAATACTTTTTGAACCATGTAGAGAAGGAAAATGAATTTTCACTTCTCACCGCTTTAGTTCAGACAAGTTCGGGCAAGGAACGACAGATCGCATCATACTCAGGATATATCGTTGATCTTATCAAAAACACGAGCTCGACTATGAGCGACCGTAAAAGCCACATTCGACGANTACTTGACTTGTCATCGATCTTATCTCGTGTTCTTCATATTCTCGATGATGGTCAACAACAGGAGAAGTAACAGACGAAAGGACTCTCGAAAGTAAAGTTCACCCTACGTATGTGTACACGTCATCGATTTTGGTAATCAACATACAAATAAAATGAACACTATTTCTTTACTCTCTAGTCGATGATGATTTACTTCGTCTTCCGTGTTTGTCTACATATAGGCAGATAAGAGTTGCTAGTCTATTCAATCTTTTGATTATCTACTCTTCCTCGCTCTATGGAAAAAAAAGGCAATAATTCATCAAAAGTACAACGGCTAGTCGTGTGTATCTAGTTATATTTATATACATAGATAGACAGAAGTGAATGCGAAGAATAGCTTTTATACTATTAATCCAGTATGCTACGAACTATCATCTCTCAAGCGATGAACAAATGAAGAGAAGAATGACGGGTGCACAGGCGATTTATTGTCATGTTTATTTCTTTTCTCTCGTTGTTTGAAGAGAAGAGAGGAGAGAAAAAAATAAGTGACCAGGATATAATCTTAACAATTCAATCACGTCAAGTAAATATCGAAGTTGACTTCATTGTCCATTTTTTGTCAATATCTATCTGTGCTGAACAAATGAACATCCGAAGTTTGTTATTTTCTTCAGATGTGTATGTGTGTGTGATGTAATTTTCATTACTGAAAAGCATTTGTCTTGCTGATTAAGCAAAATCACGAAGAAAATGTTTCCTTCGTTGATATATACAAACGATAACGAACGTTTATTTCTTCTTCTTTGCGTCTGAAATGTCAGATAATTGAGGAAATATTTTTATCTTATTTAACATTTCAATGAACATCATTGGCTTTTGTATATATGATTGATCTTTGTTCGAACATGACTGGCGCTTTGAAAACATGACAACAAACTGTTGAAGAGTCTTGATGATGAAGAGATCTACTCCTACTGTTGTCTTTTTATTGTCGACCGACATCGATGATTTAATTAATAGTGTTAATCGTTGACGGAAATCGCTTGCTGTGCAAGTCGTCCGATGTTCGATTGTTTTCTTGATCGTCCTCATTCACATTTGAGTCGTATTCAATTGAATAGACACAGCAGGACAAACGAAATTACAAATTCGAGTTCGAGCGCAAACAAAATGTCATATCTTTGATGTTCTTGTCAAATGAAGTTAATTTTACAGGACAAAACACATATTCACTGAACGTTTTGTTTGACGCGTTTTACCATGGATGACTGGTCATATCGTGTATTTTTCATTAATTATCAAATGTAGCTAACGAATTGTTACTCTATATTTTTTGTTTGATTGATTGTTTTAGTGACATTTGACATGTAAAAAATGTATTGCAATTTGAATTGAAATGTATAAGTGAAGCAGCGTAAAACTTTGTTAATCATTTCTTTTGAGGTTCAAATACATGTGAAATAAAGTTTCAGTCTTGATTTCTTTTGATATTGACGCGAAAAGATGATCGATTATACAACCGAAGTCGGTCTGGTGGAAAGAGAAATTATCAAAGACAAAAAAAACACCTATAATTTATTTCATTCTCTTTTCAAAATAATAACATACGCACTCAGTAATAGTTACATTCACGATAATTATCCATCGTCATTGTACGAAAAACAAATAGAGAATATACAGACGTCTGGATACGCAGGGATTCTGTTTGAAAAGAATCATGAAGGATTGATTTTGGTTAGTGAATTGAAAGTTAATGGAATTCTAGAGGAAAGTGGAAGAATCTTTTTGGAGATGTGATTGTTGGTGACATGTCGTGCAAGAAATATCTGATGATAAATAACGAATTGATTCTTTACGGTTTCTTTCGCCTTTCATTTTCAGGTATCGAATGAATTTCACTGCGCGTGAGTCTCTTTTCTGGCCAGTAAATTTTAGTCATGAACAAGTAGAACTTCTTGATTTCGAAGATCTCATCGATGTCGATGATTTATATAATAGACAGTGAGTAGTTTTTTCAGAATCAAATGGTAAAGAAATACCCATTTATATCATACTCACAACTGTTGCACATGCGAACTTTCAGTGCCATTGCAGAACTTTGAAATACTTCTTGAGTTACTGTTGATTGATATAACTGATGGCACTTGCTCGGGTGCCGTAAGTGAGAAGTTTTTGATCGAAGCTGCAGAAGCATTTCGTGAAATTAAAGGCAAAAAGTTTGTTTTTCGTACTTCGCTATGCAGCAAAACAAGTGTTAGGGCGACGATTTCCACTACACGCCGAGAGATTCTAAGCATTTCGTTCTACATCTTTTTACAGTCAGTGTTCATTTCTTTTGTTGACACAGTGTCCTGACATATTTTGTATCGTTTGTCGTTTTAGATATCATGTGATATACGAGACAAAAGAATTATATGCACAAAGCTCGGCATTGAAGAGAAGATAAATGTCATATAATTACCAGTCTTTAGTATTCATGCATTGATGGATGAATTCATCAAATTTTTGTCGTATTTTCCCAATTAAAATCAAGGTTGGTCGAAAGCGAAAACAATACAAACTGGAATCGCGAAAGATTCTTAATAGTCATATGGGAAAAATAGATCAAATTTGTGTGCTGATGAAAGTCTTGAGACGAATTTCGTAAGAAGATCCTTTTGCAGCACTACTCATTCGTGTGAGATCAATATCACAAGGCAATTGTTTTTATGTCATGGACATTTGTAACAAACCGATTTTCGTAACATTCCGAAGTGCTTGCATTACATAAAAACGAAAATCATTGAGAGTGGAAAATATGATCGTCATTTTTGTACACATTGCCTGAGGTACACCGTCAAATACTCTTTTCTTGGTATTCCTAGGATACTGTCAGTTGCTTTTTCTGTTAGTCATTGAGTATCATCGAAATTTATATGGTCTGATATCGTACAAGTGCTATGTGAGCTCTTCGAATGCATTGTAACACTAACCAATGCTTGTCATAAAGTATCCCTTTGGTCATATAACTATCGTTTAGTGTTTGATATGGAAATGATATGTCTGTCTGACAGAGTTTATTAAGATCACTGGGTAAAATAAAATGCGTTCCCGACGTTGCCTATCGGTATAACTTTGACATGAGAATGAGAGAAACATTTGCTGCGTAAACTGACTAGCTGTGCAATTTTCATTCCACTCGTACTTCACATCAATAATTCTCTTGAATATATTATAATTATGCATAAATAAGTTGCGTTGAATAATCCAACAGTTCTTATCCTCTTTTCTCGTAAGTAAGGTTATCGAATAGTATACATTGCCAATAGCTGAGTAGATAATCTACATTTCCTAATTTGTCACAATGAAAAATAAAAACTAATCAGTCGATGTTTATTTTTCTCTTTCTCATTTGCTTCTTAGGTTTCTCTTCTATTGAAGCGAACACTTAATCTCGTCCGTACAAACGATATGCGATGATGTAAATCGGCTGCAAGTGAACAAAGAACATAGACGTAGGCAAAACTGATGGTTGTCATCGTTGTCGAGTAGTTCGCAACGAGCCAATTGCAGGCGGTCGACAATGCTCTGCTCTGATCGCTTAGCAAGAAAAGAAATAGTATAACAATATATATATAAACAGAAGTTCTATACATATTCTGTTCCTTTCTCGTTGGTAATATGTTCTTTCTATGGCTGAGAAAAAGAGGGAGAGAAAGTCATTGCCTGTTTGTCTTTCTTCTTTCTTTCTCTCAGTGACCGCATCACATGCCGAGATGTGTATTTACAACAGAACATAACAAAAAAAAGAGGTGTTTTTATGCGCACATATGTAAAATGCGAAGTAGAAGTTCACTGTTCTGTAATCGAAGGAAAAATATGGTTTTGTGATAAACAAAAAACAAAAATATTTTATTTATGATCTTCACAAGTTGTTGTGAACTATGAAGTTTCTACAATCATATTACAATAGTGATCTATTCCATTTATTGATTATTACATCTCTCGTATGTGGATTAGAATTTTGTACTGCCTCAGCATTTACGTATATTCCGCCGATTTTACTCAAAGCTGGAATATCCGAGTCATCGATGACATGGTTAATGGGCTGTGGTCCGTTACTTGGTTTTCTTCTTTGTCCTGTTGTTGGCCATTCGAGTGATCGATGTCGATCTCGGTTCGGTAAACGACGTCCATTTATACTTGGCTTTTGTTTGACAATCATCTTTTGCCTCATGCTGATTCCACAAAGTGAAGCGATCGGTAGGAAAAGAGAAAAAAACAAAACTGAGCGAAGAAATGAAACGCTTATGTGATTCATTTCTCTTTAGGTCAACTGCTACATGCACCTAAGCTTGGATTGTGCTTATTGGTTATCACTTGCGTTCTATTTGACTTTTCTGCTCAAGCTTGCTTCAATCCATGTGAATCCCTAATTTATGATGTATGTAAAGGCACACCGCAAGAATCTTCGTGTTTTTTCGTCTATTCATTTATGACATCGTTCGGTAATGAATGTTCAAGTTTGTAAAAACAAAAGATAAATTCATCGATTGTTTTAGGTGGATGTCTCGGATATTTAATCACGGCTACCGATTGGACTGACTCGTTTCTTAGTAATTATATGCAGGGACAAGAGAAATTAACCTTTATTGTTATTTTACTATTTTTCTCGATAACACTTTGCTGTACATTGATATCTGCTAATGAGAAGATTTACGATATTCCTGATGAGCAAAGCACAGGCATCGATACGAATCTGATAGATAGTTTCTTTCTCATTCATTTATTAAAATATATTCTTCATACCGTCTCAAATTCTGTTCGAACGATTCTTACGATGCCATTTGTTCTGCAACGTTTAACATTAGCTGAATGTTGTTCATGGTATGCAAACGAAAGATTGAATACGATTTCTCCTTTACTCTAAATATCATCTAGGTCCGCAATTATGACATTTAATTTGTTTTTCACTGATTTCGTCGGTCAAACAGTGTATATGGGCGATCCAAGTGCGGATGAATTATCAGTTGAGCGTTTACGATACGATCAAGGTGTTCGGATCGCTTCTTATGGATTACTCTTTCATTGTGTTGTTGGTGCGCTTTATGCGCCATTGCTCAAGCCAATGATCAATCAGTTTGGTATTCATCTCACTTTTTCATTCGGCATGTTCATCTTTGCACTATCAATGATGGTTATATATGTCTCAAGAAACATCATTATCATTAACATTATGGCATCATTATCTGGCCTGGGGATGGCGTCATTAACGTCCATCCCTTACACACTCGTCATGACCTATTATGCAAATCGAGAGGTAAACAAAAAACAGACAACTGTTTCTCTCAAAAGACAAATAATCTCATTTTAAGGTCTACTTTATCGATAATCCCGTTTTACAAACACGTGGCATTGGAACAATACTCGGTATACTTGACAGTACTTATTTTGCATCACAAATCATCTCATCCGTTATTATGGGTTACATAATGCTAATATTTAAATCGACTCTTTCGTATATTGTGACAAGTTTTGTTCTTGCTATTTGCTCACTTTGGTTTATAAATCGAATTGTGATAAATCGACATCAGCTGCAAGAGTTGCTGAAAATCGATAAATAATAGATGATTTGTTTTCTCTCAGATATGGATAAAAACACAAGGTTTTCCAGCTGGTTCTATGCAAATCGATACGGGCGAATGAAATAAGTCACAACTGTGATTTTGATTTATTATGCAAATGACTTTCTACGTTTGCCGATACTTGCAATGATCAATTCAATCGAACGAAAATTTCAAACTGACATTTCGAAAAGAGACTTTATTCAAGTACAATGATATAACATTTATTTACAAAACAACATTTAAAGACGACAATGTATGTTCATTTGTCAAAGCTCTGCAAACATCTGTTTCAATTCGTCATAAATATGCTTCGAATCGGAATGCTTCTTATAAATATCCAGTGAACTTTTTATTGCACGGAAACTACTTTGTAAATCACCTTGCTATAGCAGAACAATTTTTTTCATCAAAACGACAAAGATTTTGAAAAGTATTATTTACCTGATACATCGATTTACCGTAATTATAGTACGGTTCGAACATGTGTGGTGCAAGACTTTGAGCTGTTTGTAGATAAGCTCGACCCTGCAATGATCATTCATAATCAATCGATATCATCAAAGCAGAGCCTACTTACGATTTCATGATTGTCTCGTTGGATTTCTACTAGACCTAGATTATTATACGCTTCGGCGTGATCATTGTTGTAAACAAGTGCTAAACGGAAACATTGGATTGCTAATTGAATATCTGATGTGTACTAAAATTCGAAATTGATCTAGGTGCTCAGATAGATTCTCGAAATGTATTCAATACATACTAAGGCCATTTCACCGATATTGTACCAGATTTCAGCTCGGTCTTCGTCAACTGTGGCAACAGCTAAGGCTTTTAAAAAGCAGGCCACGATCATGTCGTATTGTTGAGCATGAAAACAACATAAGGCAATATTGCAAAGCACAGCTGAAGTGGTCACACCCATTTGTAAAAGGCGCCGATAGAATTTCAATGAAATTTCCGGTTGATCGTGGTAAAAATGATTGGCAGCAATGCATGCTATGGCTTCAATATTTGTATTGTCTAATTTCAAAACTTGCCGATAGTAGTCGATACTTTGCGTCATATCGTTTAAACCCTAGGAGATTTGGAAAATGAAGATTAGCTGGTTTGTCGTTCCTACCAAACCTCATGAATACGTGCAATTGCTTGGACTAGACACGGTTCATGCGAGAACTTTTCTAATCCTTCTCGTAATTTACTAATGGCCAGTAATGGTTGATCCAAACGAAGATACACTTTGGCTAAGTATAGATAAGTATCAACCATTGGCTGAACTTCCAATGATAGAATGTAATGTTTTTCACTATCACGAAACATGTCCAATCTAGAAGATGAATGGTAAGAACTATTGATTTGTGAGAAAGTCTTTCGCATACCGGTGGTAACATTTACCAATTTGCACTAACCACCACCAGTCTTTATTTTGCGTATATTCATTCGCATGAATGGCTAGTTGTTGAGCCTGTGTAGTAATTAAGCATAATAATGGCAGTCTTTTGTCAGAAATTAGTATTGCATACCGTTCGAACATCGTTGGCATGATGAAACAAATGTTCAAAGAGTGATCGAGCTAACGCTTGATTTTGTGCATATTTAGGCAGATTTAATCGACCTACTTGAATGAAAGGACCATCAGGTGTACTCAGCATCGATGCCTACAAATAAGTAAATAAACGCGCCTGAATTTTCTTAACAATCTTTCGTTTGTTAATCATGAATTGCAGTCCAAATACGACAACAGATGCGTGTCCAACGAACAACAATCATCAAGAAACACTATCCGGCTATCTGAAAGATCATCTAAATGTGTCGTTTCTTGATTGCAAATGTTGTTGTGATGCAAGTAAAGAAATCTCTCGGTGTCAAACGAATCCATCCAACTTTTTGCGTGATATCCAAGAATATTTAACTATGCCTGAATATCGTCTAAACTGTCAATGTATATGTGGCGATAACGAAGAAACTAATATGCCGATGAAATTTGGAATTAACTTAACGCCAGCTAATGACTTAAAATAGTTGACAATGAATTCTATATTCGGTTTTTTTAGAAATCATTTTCTTCGAAGTTTTCTTTTCGGTTGTAAACAAAACTTACTGTTCCAAGTCGAACAAAACGACCTGTGGCGGTTGTGACAGGCCGTGCTGTGGCGGCCGTTCGAGCAGTCTTTAAAACATGTTCCATACTTTTACCACCTTGTGTCGATTGAGTGTTCAATCGCAGCATGCCCGTTATCGGCCTTCCAGTCATTGTCATTGGTCGCATCGCTGGACTGGGTCCATTCATTCCCGAATTTGGATTTGCTGTAGGCTGCCGCATTGATGTACCAGGCATCGGCGCTTGATGAAATGCATTTTCGTCTAACATCTCTGCAAGACCATCATCAGCCACTTCTGTTTCATCAACATACAATTGTTCAGTCAATGCACGCATTTTGAGTAGCCATGCCGCCTAAACAAAAAACGACAGCAATATTTCTTGAGGAGTTTTCTCAATTGTCGAAGTATACTTGATCGTTTGGATTCTTCGCAAGTAGGCGAGTAGTCACTTCAACGCATGTTTCATATTGACGGCGGCGAAATAAACTTACTGCTTGAAAAAGCAAATCCATATCTGGCAGAAGTTTTGCTTTGTAGGTATTTACTGTTCATAAGATCGCTACCATTACTTGAACGCATACTTTTCCTTGTTGCTAAGAAATAAGCGTGTGGCGACATCCAGTGAGAAATATATATCGCAGTTATTCGTCGTAAGAAGTTGATTGGCTGATTAGATAGACATGTAATACGTGTATAGTAGTAGAAGAAAAGTAAGTTTCAAAATGAAATTATATCCTGATCTAATCGACTAATCTTCTATTTTCTTCGCATTTTTTAGACCATGCTAAGCTCAAGACTCTCTGCGTCGTTGTTTTTCATAGCGGTTTTTTTTCATGAAATTTCTGCGAATGAATTAACGTTTGAACTGCCGGACAATGCAAAAGAATGTTTCAATGAAAAACTCAAAATTGGCTCCAAATATGTCTTAGAATTTCAAGTAAACTCTTTAGAATTTATCTAAAACAAAGACTAGCAAACTTCTCTGGTATTCAATAGGTCGTCACGGGTGGTAACTATGATGTTGATTTAGAATTGAAAAGTCCATCGGGTAAAGTCTTATATCAAGTAACAAAAAAACAATACGATCAAATCGAACGAACAGCTGAAGAAGATGGCGTGTACGAATTCTGTTTCAGCAATGAATTTTCCACTTACACACATAAAGTTATTTATATCGGTACGAATGAACGAGTTATCCATGAAGAAAAGTCATGTGTACTTATTTAGACTGGAGAGTTGACGGTGATCCCGAACATGAAATTGGTGGTGCGAATCCACGCGTTGCTGAAGGTGCATTAACGATGGTTAGTTCGAGAAAGAAAAGTTTCTGAAGAAAATTCTTTTTTTGTTTCTTTAGATCGAATCAAAAGTAGGAAATATTCATCGTAATCTCGAATCTTGTATCGATTATCAAACACATCATCGTTTACGTGAAGCGACCGGTCGTGCACGTGCCGAAGATCTTCAAGAGCGTGTACAAATCTGGTCCTTAGGACAATTTATTCTTATTATTATCGTAGCTATTGGTACTGTCTTGCTACTTCGGTCGTTTTTCACTGATCGAAGAACGCCAACCAGTAAGACGTGGTCCCGATGAAACAGCCAACCAATTTCTATATTTGTTCTCTTGCAAGACGGTGATTCTTTTTCTTTTTTTTTCTTACCGATGTTTTCTGTTTTTGTTGTTAGTTTTCACTTCTTATTTAATGTATAGTTCAATTTTGTTTCACTGCACTCTGATAAGATCTATTATCTCGTCTTTGGTTCTCACGGTTTTGAACAACTAAACAATTTTTCTTCGAAAAAAAAACACATTTCTATCAGCGTTCTATTACACCTTTTGTCATTCTAACTGTCGTATGAGAATAAAACAAAATCAGTTTCTCTTTTCGACTTTAAGCCTTGACATGATATGAGCAAGATTCATCATTCAAGTTTGCTGAACAAAAGATTCATCATTTTCCCTTATCATTATAGATTACATCTTCTTCTTCTTCTCGCTCGTCTTTGTTCTGTTCGAATCAAATTTATTTTTCATTCGTTTCTTATCATTGCAATTATAAGAACGAAAGGAGGATTTGCCTGCATAGCTACAACAAATGACACGCGAACGCTATGCGTACACATTCGAATCACAGCAGCGAAGCAAAGGACACCAACTTCGATTCACCTTTCCTTTCGCCAGGCAATCGCGAGCATAACACATGCAATAAACAAGCTATTACAGCAATGAGGTACGTTGTAAACAAATGAAAATATTGTTCGTCATTCATGTGATAATCAAGCAATAAGAAAACATATTTCTTCTTTCGCATTTTCATTCGCAGGTACAATTATACTACTTAACAAGATATGGTCTGCACACCAGGTTAGTTGCTCATTTGTGGTTATATTTCCTCACAGACATGTTCTCTTCACGAAATCTTAAAAGAGCTATTTCAGAGAGAATAATTCAGACAAATTTTCAAGGTTTTTAGTAGTCGTCCTTGACTACTGAGGGAAGAGCAAAAAATAGTAGTGTATCATCGCTATTTCGAATGAACATATGTGTCGTGTAGAGCAGTTCAATGAGTGAAATAGATTTGACGACCGAAGGAGACTTAAGAGCAGTTCCGTTCCTTCTTCACTTATCAAATATTGATAGTACTTTCAATTTGCTTTTTCTGCATAAATTTTGCGCGTACTAATGATTACTTATTTAAATCAAATTGAAACAGTTGTATGTAGATATATCGGGTCGATCTTTAGCTCACATGTGTTTCTTTTTCTTTCTGTGAAAAGCGCTAGTAGGGAAAAAGACGAGAGAAAAGGAAAGAGGGAGAAAAAGGAATCTTCGACGAAGGAACCTCCGCGTTTATTTCTACCATACACAGTTCTCTATTCCTTCCATCGCTAACAACCAACGATGCGTTGATCGACTGAGAGAGAAAAAAGTCCGCTGTTGTTGTTGTTGTTGATGACGATGTCTCGCTGCTTATTGCTCGGTTCTAAATTTTGTATAGCCAGCGTATTTTACCATTCTCTCCTTCTTATTTTCTTTTTGCTAGAAAATTGACTATCTATAAAGTTGTGTTGCTTGTCCTAGAATAACATAGGCGTGTATATAATGACACGTAACAACAAACATAGTTTACAAGTCAAACAAGCTCTCATGTTCTTTTTTCCTCTAGCAAAAGATATATTTATCTAAATAATTAGCCGACTTGTTTATTAATCGGTGTTTCATTTTATCTATGTGTATCATTTAGATTTAGATACAAACGGCGGTATGCACGGATCTTTGTTGGATTCACATCGTCGCTCTTCGCTGAGCAGTCAAGATGCAGATGTCGTTGCACAATCAGAACACTTAATTTCCGAAGATACGTGCAGAGACACGTTTAAAACTCCCAAACGGTCGTATTCACCGTTGGACAACAATTCAAAAACTTCACCTATACATACGCCAGATACAACAAACTATCCAGATTATCGAAAAGCTTCTCCAGTCCATCTGGACAACGTGATTGAAGAAGATGATGACGAGAAACAACCGAAAACACCAGTCACACATTCAGCCGATTTTTTTCGTTGGACACATGGGCACCGACGCGTTATGTTAACATTTGGAACAATATGTCTCTTTGCTTTTATGACAGGCGTCGAATACGCAGTTATTTTACCTACAGCGTTCGATTATGTTAAAAAAATGACGCCAATTTCAGTTTATGTAGGTTTAATACTGTCATTTTATAGCGTATCTGGCGCAGTAACAGGTGTTATCATGGGAAAAATCTCCGATGTAACTGGCAAAGTGAAAGTCCTTATCCTTGTCTCGAATTTATTTGAAATTGGCGGAAATATTCTGTATTTTGTGACGAATAATATCCATATTGTCCTTTTGGGACGATTGATTTCTGGTGTTGGCATGGGAGCCGTGCCACCAGTAAGAAAACTGTTTTTTGTTCAATGATCTTACATTTACGTACATCTCGATTATTTCGTGTTAGATTCTTGCTGACGTAGCTCATCGAACAACTGAAAAAGATCGAACAAAAGCCATTGCAATAATTCTTGGGTGTCGACAACTGGGTATGTTCTTCTGTTTTCATTTACGATTCATAGATTAAAATGATGGGTGTCAGCTTTTTCGATGTTATTCAATATATCTTTCTGAATAGGTCTATTAGTCGGTCCATGTTTTACATTACTCGTTCGTAAAATGGACTTTTACATTGGTTTGTATATTGTTTTGTTCTCTTTCAAATACGCATCTTTAATGTAAATACTTTTTTCTCTGTCAGGTACTGTTCATATCAATCCATTAAATGGTCCTGGCTTTCTAATGGCTTCTATTTGGTTAATACTCCATATTGTTTGTTGGTTTTGTTTCTATGATCGAACGCCATCAACAACAACCGGACCGTCGACATCCGATAATTCTCCAAAACATAAATACACTCGATCAGATCATCCATCTCGACAAGATCAACAGAAACTATCATCCGAAGCATATTACCGTCAATACGTGCGGATCGAAATGTTCGTCCTATTCTTTGCCACATTCATTGCCTATTTCAATCAAACAGCATTAGAAACAATAGTAGCAGCGTTTACCGAACAAAATTTTGGTTGGAATATAGTCCATACATCTAGTTTATTTGCTTTCGCTGGCTTAGAAATTATTACTGTTTATGTTTTACTTGTTTTTGTCCTGTCGAAACGTTTTGAAGATCGCTTTTTACTTGTATTCGGTTTCATATCACTAACCGCTGCTTGCGTCTTGGGAGTATTTTTTACCTGGGCTTCACAATCATTCGGTTGGTCAGGCAAATCGAGTCAAGGAGTAGTCGATAAACGTCTATTTGCAATGTTCATCGTTTTCGTTATACTTGATCTTCTTGGTTTACCATTCTTAGCAGCAACTAGTGTATCAATATTTACGAAATTGACCATCAAAGAACTACAAGGTTTTTCACAAGGCATTCAACGACTAGTCATGGGCATCGGAACCATAAGTAAGATGAAAGAAAAACAGATGAAAATTCTCTTCATTTCGAACTTTTTGTTTGTAGTTGGTCCAATATTTGCAGCAGCACTTCTCACACGTCTTCATATTATGATGACAACTATGCTTACGTTGACATTCTTTACTTTGATCGCATTATTCTTCGTTCTAAAACGTTTACGTCCAATGTCTGACCCGAACAATTCATCAGATCGAAAAGATCCGACTAGTCCATCGCTGAACAAAAGCTCATCGATTGCAGATGACAATGAGAATACAGCATTACCATTATCATCGAAAAATTGTTATATCACTCTTGTTCAACAGGATGATGAACAAAAGCCATGCTTATCTAAGAAAAATTCCAAATGTAATTCATCGTCGAATCTCGATTCTCAACTTCGTTACGATACCAGCTCAACAAATGTTCTTTGCGTCTCGGACGACCAAAATCGGACTGTTGAAAACGGCTTGTCAAAATCATCTTCACAAACTTTATGATCGATACTTTCAGCTTTTATTCTTGGCATCTAGTCAGCCTAATGCAAATTGCATTCTTCTTTCTGTTCATGTACGTTAACATGTGTGCTCAAATCATTTTTGTGTTCTGCATTAGTGCTCACGTATGACAAATTCAGATGAATAACGACGATGACGATCATACGCGACAACAGTAGCATTGAATCAAATCAATAATATCTGTAGGATTCATCAGTTTATTTTATATGTATTTCTTTCTTTTTCTTCGTGAAACTAAACATAAAACAACAATTTTGATCTCACATGATATTTACGAATGGCTGATTTTTGCGATAAAAATAGGAGAGAATAACTAACTGTGTGGAAACACTCAAATTATACGACATAGGAAACAAATTAATGTTTCAAAAATAGCTGAAGAGAAGAAGTGTTTTGTGCTTCACTGAAGATTTTAACAATAACAAATCGTACTTATGAATCCATTTACACATTTATTAGAAGCGACTAGTAGTGTAATCAAACTCGAAAGTTCAATTCAACTATTCAGCTATCCAAGTACTTCATCATTCGTATGAATAGATTTATCAACTGTTTATTACAAGTAATTGAATATTTCTAATGAATAAAACAGAATCGAATTACTGATTTGATCACTACAAAAATAGATATGATTTATTTTACATGTTTCATTCACTTGTTTATCGAATAGAAATATTCGATACAAGTTTTAAATGAAACGCTGATCATTCAAATATTTCTTTTCAATTTGAAGATCAGCTTATTCTTCAGACCATTTTCGTCGATTTACCGAAAAATCAATGAACTCGATTTCTCTGTAAATAATGGTAAAAGAATATTTTAAATTAAAACAAATTTTGATTCATTTTTTGTTGGCAAATACCGCCGGATAATGTTTAACAAGTGCAGCAATACCTTGACTGATAATAACCGTGGCTGCATCTTCCCAAACATTGCTTGTAGTTGAATTGTTCCTCGGAGGTGTTTTGTCACGAGGAAGACCATCAGATATAACAGGCACCGATTTAAACAAATCCGAGTGACCTGTCGCTTTCTGATGTTGATTTAAACTATCAAGTTGATTAAACCGGCGATTGCATTGTCCACAACCATAGTCAATGTCCTGATGATCTTTCGCTTTCTTATGTTGAGTCAAGCCATCGAGTGTGGTGAATGTTTCATCACACCTGGGACAATCAAAAAGGTGATCTTTGGCTTCTTGATGTTGTCTGACAGCTTGAATTGAATCGAATTCACTGGAACATTTTGGGCATGGATATGTTTGTTTTTTTGCTGGAGTTGGTCGTGATTTCGCTGACGCCACTGGTCGATTAGGTGACGGTTCAACCGTATGCAAATGGCCATCTCTATTCGAACTGGCCATTCGATATGGTTGAGGCGTACGTGTTGTTAATTCTTCCATTAAATTAGGAAGAAGATTAACATCTTTTGACAATGCTTGTGTAAACAATTCCCACGGATAATGAGCATTAACCGTAGCTTTTAACTCTTCTTTCGCTGGTTTATTATGTATAACAATAACATGGAAACCGGCTTGATGACGAAGATCACTTAATTTACCAACGAAATCGATATCACCTGAGATAAGAACAATTGTCGCTGGAGGTCGATGAGCTCGCTCAAAACGATCTAACGCTAACATAATCTGACGGTCTACTGCTCCGGATTTCCGGTCGGGTACATGTACTATGCTGACGTTTGCATGCAATAAACTTAATTGATTATCTTTGGATATCATGGCGCTGTCGCAAAAACACGAGAAATTATCTTCTCGTAGACCAGCCTCAATGATTAATTTTTGGCGAATGCGTTGAACAATATCAAACGGTTTTTGTCCTTTAGGTATTGGAACGTTTTCGATATCCCAGAAGAAGCTGATTAGAATTTCTTGTTGCGGTTGTGATGATGCCAATGGCGTTGGTACTGATCTTGCTGCAGGTTCAGATGCCAGTTTTTTCTTGTTACCATCCACTACTTTGGGTGGTGCCGGGTGTCGATAGGAACATCTAGCGTCTCGGCAAATTTTTGGCCATTTAGAGCAGGTTTTTGTTTGCGCAGCAGCCTTTGCGCAATGGCGATAACGACATTTGTCATTTAATTTACAAGATCCGTTCATAAAGAACATACAATCGGTGAATGTCTTCATTTCAGCAGCGGTACTACCGACCGTTGCTCGTGCCATGTCGAACACGAAATCTGAAAGAAAATATACGTAGTTTCACCCTCAAAAAAACAAATAAATGACATAAAATAGTTTGTGTTATATTTAACAAAGTGAAGGTTGCTGTGTTGATTGCCGTTTAAAATATATGCTATCAAACGATACAGATAAGAGATTGATCGATTTTTTTCCCATTTTTTCGATAAAATTACGCGAGTATTTGCATGTTTGTAACCAGCCTCAGACGTCAAAAATATACATAAATTATTCGATGTAGAGGCACATCGAGGCGCATGACTCTGACTCAGTGTCAGAGTTGAAGAACGTAGCTTCGTCGGTAGATAAAGTTGCCCCGTCTTTGACAACAACAACAGAAAGCAGGGCTGGAGGACAACAGAACAGAAAGAAAAAAAAAGGAGCAAATTTGCCACCAAAATTTTGCCACATCACACGCCGATGTAATTTAACTACGATAGTTTTATTTGTTTCTGCACGTACGAACTACTAATGGAAATATTGATGTTGCTCATTGAGAAAAATGCTTTCAACTGTACGCTTTCTATCGTTAGATCTGACATAGTTCAAATCAAATTCTATCTTCTCGACGTTCATATTTGAACATGTCTCAGAAAACGACGTCAATAAACTTTTCTTGATATTACTTTTGTGTGAATCAGCACATATTCATTGACAATGCATCACGTGCGCATATTTGTTTTCAGTTATATTGATTACTCAGAAATAACTTGAATGAAATGAACAAAATAGACAGTGGCTACTAAAAATATGCCCACGCTTTGATTACTCATATAATAATTACCGACCTTATTCATCTTTAATCACATTGCAGTTATGCATCATTGATTTCACCTTGTCTATTACGTGATTCATCTCGAAAGAACCATGTTGTTAGTATATAAACATTTCATTTTATGTGAATTGTCAACACATATATTTTACCTTTTCTTTCGCTAATACAGTACAAGCATGTAAGTTTATATTTCAGTTCTCAGAGTTTCTCCTAATATCTCCTTCCATTGCAGGAATCAATTCGGCGGAAATCCTTTTGGAAATGGCTTACCAGCTTCTTTTCAATCGCCTTTTGTTCAGCCAGGCTTGGGACAATTTGGCAATGCGGGTGCTTTATTTGGTAGTAACGTTCCAATTCAAGGAGGTAACATATTGCCTGCTGGTGGAATGCCTTTTCCACCTGCCAATTTTGGAGGAATGCCGATGGGTGGCCAATTTGCCTCTGGTTTCAATGGACCGATAATGCCCGGCAACGGTTTTGCTAATCCGCCAATCATGCCAGGCAATGGTTTTGCTAATCCGCCAATCATGCCAGGCAATGGTTTTGTTAATCCATCAATGCCATTTCCATCTGGACGGCAATCACCATTTATAGGTGGCGAAGGAAATCATTTTGGTAGTGGTGCTTATGGTCGACCTCTCCCAGGTGAATCGTATCGTCATCGATCTTCATCACGTCACCGATCGTCATCGCGCCGTCGCCATCGTAGCCGATCAACATCAAGTAGTGATGATGAACATCGTCGTCGTGGTTCGCCATTTGCTGGAGCCGGATATCCTTACAACAATGTGCGACCAGGTTCTCCTTTTGCACCGAATAATGGTGTGATTTTCAATAATCCTCAACCATTTCCAAAGGCTGCACCACCACGACCAGGCTCACCTTTCGCTCCCGTGAATGGTATTCCCTTCAATAATGTTCAACCATTCCCAAATATTATTCCATCTGGATTTCCATTAGAGCAGCCGCCACCTATTCCACCACGCGCTGGCTCACCATTTGCAGCTGCTGGTGGCATACCTTTTAATGGTTCTCAACCATTTGGAAATCTTCCGATACTAACACCCGGTAGTGGCTCACCTATTATGTTTCAAAGATCTGCTTGGTAATCCCTGGCACTCTCGTTGTTTCATTAGTATTATGGATATGTTCAGTAAATTTTTCAATAAATATATGTATTGTACTATTTATGCAACATGAATAAAACCAAAACGATTATGAACGTATTTCTTTACGAAACATTCTGTCAAGTACATATCAGTATAGACTGAGTAACCTTAAAATTACCTGAAAAAAATACAGTTTTACGCAAATAGAATATAAAAAGTATATACGAAAATCGAGTTCGTCCTGGTCAAAGCTAGAGGTAATTAGTTGTTTTAACTCCAGCAAGAGAAGCTTTTCGTTTTGTCTCAAACTATTGTTCTCGAAAATTAGTCAGCTCACCGTTTTTTACTGAATGAAAGATTCAATCGTATTTGTGCTATAGTAGCATACCGCTGTTCGCTAAATTTGCCCGACTAGCGAAATTTAGTACATAGCAGTGAAACATTCGAAGGTTCAACTCAATCAGCCTTCAATCTCGATCAAAATATTGAATCATTGAGCACATACATCATAACATTAGTGGCAGCAGATGCTTTAACAGCCAGATCGATTCTCAATCATCTCTCCCATCTATGCACGTAAGTTTTCGAACGACGAATGACATTTATTCAACGCATATAGATGGTTGGAGTGTGTGTTCTTACCACGAACAACGTATAGACACGCTGACCGTATTAGGAGCGTTGATTCTATGTAGTTGCGAGTAGTAAAGAGAAAAAGAACGCAAGTTTTATCGTTCTGTTCTGAGCAAAGACTGAACTGAAAGGGGCTGACGCGTACGCACGAGAGAAAAGAAGACATTTTTATGGTGAATATTCTCCTGCATTCAGAGGAGAATAGAAAAAGAACAGAACGAGTAGAATCAATGATTCTTTTTTTCTATTGCTCCGATATAGGTCTTGATGGAGGAGAAAAAAGAGCCTTGGAAGATACAACAACACTAAGCATGAGTCACGCGCATTCTCTCATAAGTAATACACACTAGAACAAACCGCATCGCACTGTTTTATATCATTCCAATAATGACAGATTTCGTACGACGGAAATGATACATCAATATTGTTCTAATCTATTAGAATTTATAGAAATTTTGAGCGACGTCCCCATCTTTTTTTGCTCCTATCTCTCCTCCGTTCTGAGTTTATTTTGATTATGTAACTGGTATGTAATAATCTGCTTTTAGCGTGAAACACAAACATAGATTCTTGCGATATTTTAAGAAAAATAAGTCAGATACTAGGCTCTGGGACAGATAAACATTTTTCTCTGTTTCTTCTGAATTTGACAAATTAGTTTAAATGTTATAACATCGCACAATTACGATTGTTTATAGTGTGTTAGTTGTTGCTGAAAAGTGTGAAAAAGTCCTTACTGATCTCTTTCAGCTATAGAAGGTCTATTGGCAATTTGAGTTCTTGTATTTAGTGTAATAGTTACATCCCTTATATTTCGTTTATAAACGACTATCACGTGTGTTCATGTTGTAAATAATTGGCTATTCGTCAAAAGGTACTGTCTCAGACACTGTTCATAGTACATATTACCTTTTTCTTTGAAGAACTCTAATGTCAATCCTCATTTCATTTTTGATCGTATGTTGTGATTTGTTTATGTTTCAGTTCCAAAATACTCACAGCTGTAGCTCGTGAGGATGTCAAATTCCGTAGAAAAATCAGACGATTCTCCAAGTGAAGACACTGTTCAAAATCCTGATCGTGAAGAACCGTGTCAGTTACAAGAAAACAAGAGTCCGATAAGCGAAAATTTATCAGCAGTACCAAAGACTGACACACCGATTCGAAAAAGCACTAAACACATCGAACGACATTCCGGCGAACATGCAGATTTGTACGTCGCTTTAAGATGCACATCCAATCAGCTTAGAACGCGTACTAATGTTAGCACGATCATCAATCTTCGAAATTATCTTGATCCATATACAAAAAACAATCTAAGTTTGGAGAATGGAAAATTACCGAACGGATACGACGTGGATCATATACATGAAGTTCAGGTTCTAATTTATGCTGTCAACGAAATTAAGGCGTTTTCGACTAAAACAATCGAGTGCTTGCGTGCCGAAGTTAACGACGTCTCGAATCTGGTTATTACTACTTGTGGTGTTAATCGATCGAAAGGCCAGGCTATGAAGTACTTTTTGAACCATGTAGAAAAAGAAAATGAATTTTCACTTCTCACCGCTCTGGTTCAGACAAGTTCGGGCAAGGAACGACAGATCGCATCATACTCAGGATATATCGTTGATCTTATCAAAAACACGAGCTCGACTATGAGCGACCGTATACGCCACATTCGACGAGACGATGGACACGTGACTGATAACAGTATATATGAATTAGTTGCCGATAAATTCGATTCCTTAGTTCTCAAGATGGATCTCGATCGAACTGACGCCGTCAAATTACGTAGTGGCCGCACTTATTATCCTCCGAGATAAAGTGTATGGTCAGTTAGAAGAATGCACCAAGTTCGAGATTCTAGACTTAGATGCAGGTTTAGAACATCTCAAGTTGGTAGTGCTGTGGGCAAGTGTATGTGAATGTAGAGAGAACATTTTCACACATTCTGAATATATGATATTTTCTCTTCATGACTTGTAATTTTAATTTGTACATCTTTTTCTTATCTGTATGGGTATTCGCCTGCATGTCTTATAATATTTTATGTAGATTATCTATTTTTTATCGCTAATATATATTCAGTAACACGACGTTTTTAGTCGTCAATATGAACTTCGTTACACAAGTTCATTCTTCTTGTAAATAAATACAGAAAAATGTTTCAACCAACAAAAACTACAGATTGCTTTCTACTTTTGATCTTCGATATAATCTAAGAAGACCAGTTCTTTATTAAACCGTTGAATCGACTATATTTTCAACGAAATAATCGATCACGTTACCGATGTGAACATGTTATCAGTAACAATGTGGTAGATATGCACAAAGATTATTCATAGATTGTTCACTGGTAAGATTGAAAAAAATATCCGAAAAGTGATGAAAGTCTATTTTGATGAGGATGAATCGTATTCTGGCATCAACGCACCTTTGTACGGTATTGTCGTTCACATTCTTTCAGATTCGGTAAAATTATACATGATGGAATCTGATAAAACGACATTCAGCAAAGACTCGAACCAGCAACCTTCGTCTTTTATGTTTTATTAAATAAAAATATGTACGAGAGAGAGAGAGACAAAAGCAACTTATTCGATTAGCATTTTAATTCAAATTTTAAGTAAGTGTGTCTTGGACTGATTGAGAGTGACCGAACGAATGATTTGTTTCAAGTACGTACAGGTATCGGTCGTTGGTGTAAGAGAAAAATAAATAAAGGTATAAAGAGAATATTTTTACTAACAAGAATGAAATCCAGATATTTTGTAACGAATTCTCGAATTGGTTGAATAATAGTGACGATAGATGTTGTCGCAGTTTGTACAGGTTGAGAATGGTGTTCGAGATTGAAATCGGTTTTCAACACTGGCGAACGCTGTGATGCCGTTAATGAATGATAACCAGATGACAATCGTTTCGAATCAGTCGTATCTTCATCGTAACTAGCTGCTGGAGATGGACGAATCGTTCTGCGAGAAGAATTGAAATCAGAAAATGTATCAAGATCTTCATTGTCTGTATCATCCGCAGATAGTAACGGATCGAATTTTCGTTGAGTTTGAGTTGTTGAGGATGATTGCTTTTGGTGACAGGAATGGAGAAATGTATGCAAATGTTGATGATCTGTATGATCCATACTTGATCGTTTTGAACTTCTTAAGAGCACAAAGAAGAAGAAATAAATGTGTAGAAGATATCAAAATCACCTTTACCGTGTCGAGTGATCGATTCTTTTGTTTCTTTGGCGTAACGTTTGTGATTCTTCTTCTTCTTCTTCACTGAATATATTTGGTATGAAATGAGGCGATGTCCATGATGATACAGATGCTGTCTTCGATGCCACGGAGTATTTTCGTGGACAGGAATCTCGTAATGCCATTGAACTACGTCTTGATTGTGTGACAATCTGTTTGACGCAATTAGCTAAAACTTCTGGTTGAGTTTCATTTCGCAATTGTCCATCTTCGGTGAATAATTGTTGATACATCATTTCAATAAACATAAATGGATCTTCGACATCAGGGACATGAAAAGACTCCGATTGTTGCTTAGTTCGATTTGGATTCGATACTGTTCTCGCCTTCGAAGACTGGCGAGCAGGTGGCACAGATTTCTGTTCACTTGATTGAATGAAAACTGGTTTATAATTGACAAGAATAAGATTTTTATTCTTTTTAACCAGCTGTTTGTTTAGGATTGATATTAATTGTGTCAAACTATCGGATCGTATTGGGACAGATTTCCGTGACGATAAGCGCTTTCGTTGAACAAAAACACGGATGTTTTCATTCTTCTTTGGTATCGAAGGTAGAAAATTGGTCATGTTAAATAGAATTTTAACTGTAACATACAAGAAGAAGAAGAAGAAGAAGTGATTTCTTTGTTTTCAAGAATGTAAAATAGCGAAATCTACTGTATACTTGTTTTTGTTTTTACCGATGATCTTCTCATGTATGTTTCGCGAACGCATATTTTTCTTTCTTTACATTACTCTCGTCTACTTAATGAAATCAAAACATTGTCCATGCTGTGAGTTGTCGCATCGATTGAAATAAGAACTTCAAGACTTTACTTACTCGTTTGTTGCTTACAAAATTCTTTCTTCTCTTTTCTAATTCTCTCTCGTTCTGATTTCCTTTTAACTTGAATTGTTTTCATTATTGATTGTGAATAAGCTCAATTTACTGCTTCACGGCCTGTATAACATTTCTCTTTCATCGAAAGTAATTGAGTTGGTTGAGATCTTGCTCAAATAAAAGAAAAGAGTTTTGTTGTTTCGAACAAGTACAAACAAGCAAAACTCAAGGTATCGATTCGATTGAAAATAGATGCTTCCCAAAGTTGAATGGAATAAAATAGGTTGTTAGTCTATTGAACCGTTTTTCGCTGATGAAGATCGAAATTCAACCGTTCGATTTATCGTGGCTTTCGAATATAACAAAGGACTTGTTTGATCGGAATTTTGATGAGAAAGTAAGGTGACATTGAGTTCAGTATCTATTTTGGCTACATCTTCGATGCTACTACACGTCGATACAGTAGGATGAAGATAGTTTGTTTCGTCGGGTGGCCGTTTAACGACAGATGGAGAATATGTATTATGAGAAAATGGTAGAGGTATCGTTAAGTGAGAACGATCGAGTGTTGATTGCAACTTTCGTCCAGAGGAGTTAGAAGTCGGTAATTCTTTTGACAACGATGTATTTGTATTAACTCTGTCTAATGATCGTCTATGAAATTGAAATAAACTTTGATCATCAGCTGCACTTGATGACGACGTTTCAGTGTCGACACTCGATGACATTGTCGTGTTAAAACTTCGTGATTGAGGAAGGTTGATGCCACGCTGTGTATTGTGTAGTAATATCAGACTTTTCCGACGATCAATTATCGATGCATCAGATTCATTTAGATTAACTGATTTGTTTTTGATTGATTCAAGTTCATCGATTCGTTGTTGCATTTGTTTCTGTTGCCAATCGATCCAAAATCTACATAAAAGCAAAGATTTGAATTTATTCAATCTAATTCTCTACACAAACCGTTCAGGAATCGCGTGAGCACGTTCAAAAATTTTCGGAGATAAACCATACCGTTCCGTCGGCACTAATGTATTTGGTGATACCAAATTAATGGGAAAATTATGTGGTCGTCCATACGTTGAGATACCACTGGTACCAATGCTCGAGCACGGTGTCAATGCTGAATATGACGAGTGAATTGAAGGCAATCTCGAATGAGAATAATCAGGTATAAGTTCATCTTCAAGTTCTCGAACTCGATTGGCTAGCTGTTGACAATATTGCGTTTGATGGAAAGTATTCGCGTTGTGGGATATCGATGATGTATCCGGTAAAGCATTGCGACGATCTCGAGTTGATTCAGATCGAGACAGCATTAACGGTTTCGAGCGTAGGTATGACTGCAAGGATGTAGTAGAATTGCTTTCATTTGTATTCAACATTATTTTCTACGATGATAGAATAGAACAGTTATATTTCGCCTACTGTTCTATGAGAGAAAAAGAAAATAGTGAATGCATGAATACACTTCTCATAAATATTGATACGTCTTGTATATCATGAATATTCACTTGATTTGTGCAGAAGATTGAAAATCATCGCGTCATTTCACAACAACAGAAAAAAACAACGACCTACCTTCTAATTCGACTTTGAACAAGCGAGAAATCTTTTGACTATTGGTGCATATTTGCTTTCTGTCACAAAAAAAGTTCTTTTTTACTTCAGAAGACGTCGTGAAAACTTCGGATGATGAGAAAAACTACTTTCAACGAAATCTTTTTGTCTGTCTCGCTTTCTTTTACGAGAATTACTCTCTTGTGTTTGCTATTACAGTTCTTTTACTTTTCTTTGTCATGCATCAGCTGGCCTTTGTGCATCAATTGATTCATTACACGATTATTCATTCTAAACAGATGCTTCTTTACATATATGTAGATTTGATTTCCACTGGTAAACAAAAAACGGTTAAACTCACATAATTTCAGTCGTCGCATATAGTTCTTTTATTCCGTGAAACACGAGTGCACAGCAGATAATTCGCCGCAGTGGCTTTTCTGTAGTAAGATTCGGAATAGCAGATACGATTCCATAAACCAGAAAGAGAATCTAATAAGAAAAAAAGCGTTTCCAATGAAAAAAACCGAGTCCTGACTTTCACACACATGTGCTTTAAAAATTGTAATTCAAATAATGCGGTTGCTGGAAAATATCAAAATCAATTGCAATCTTTCTTTAGAACAAGGATATCAGCTGCTGACATCATTTTTACTTTGTGCACAATATTACTTTTATTTTAACAAAAATCTACTGAACAGGTTCGAAACTGATCGATAAAAGCACAAATTTGTATTGAACATTCTCTGGAGTAGAAGAAAGTACTGAAAGAAAACTCGACATGAGATATTTTATTTTGTTGATTCTATTTAGAATGATTAGAGAAGGAGTTTCTTTATTGCTTGGAAAGCAAAGTCACACTAAAAAGTCAATTTGTTTGGACGACGTCTATAACCAACTGAGGAGTTCTTCAAAATTGTCGGGTGCATTAACATTTGTTTTTTTTTCGTTGAGCGAAATGCCATTGAAGAACTGTTCTTGAGGTGTGATTAAAGCTCTATCGTTGATCTCAGCAATGGATGCCATTTGTGATACTGTTCGATTATTGCTAATATCAGATTGACTTGTATTAGTTTCCATATGGAATTGAGGTATATATCCACTTGCGGGCTAGCAAAAAAACAAAAATTAATAAGAAATTTACTTCAAGAATACGAAAGATCGCATTTCCCTTTGCTTTATCTAAACAGTTTGAAGACATACAAATAACCAATTCATGATAGAATCTCACAGTAACCTAATCGGGTTGAAGCTTGTCATGGGAAAAGGCATGTTATTCTACTTACCGTAATGTATGGTGAGTTTGGAGAAACATCTTGATCAACATCATCGTTCGGTGCTACGGCTTTTGGTGCATTGGTATTTTGCTTACTTTCGAGCTCACACAAATCTATTCCATCAAGAATAAATGGTTTAGTATGACATTTACTTTCTTCAACGGCTCGCTTACATTCAGCTACCGAATGGGGTGACAGCTGTTCAGGTGGTTGGTTAATATCACGAACAGTTTGATATTGATCGTTTAAATTCTAAATCATCATTCTACAGTCAGCGATAGCTATCTAATTGAAGCAGAAACTGACCTGAGTAGTCGCAGAAACAACCCTAGTAACGGGTAGACCTTGAATGGTAGCATCTCCAGTAGAGCAAGGACTACTTTCACCAGCATGAATCAGCGAATTGATAGTTGAATTATTATCTGCTTGTTTCTTGCTTACTTTTCGATTTGTTACTGAATCAGGACACTGTGGCACTGTGTCTAGAAGCGAAATAGATACTTCTCATTCTCAATGATACTATTGAATAAATCTTACCACATTGATTCAGATTCCTTTTTCGTTTAAATATTTGAACCCGTACTGTTTCTACAACTTGTCCATCACAATCAAGCACATTTCTTTCTTCAACCGTGTAATACGACTCTGAAAGAAAAACGTGCCATACAAGAAAATAAGAATCTTTTGTGTTTACTTGCGAAAATCGTAGGCTTTGAAAGTGCGAGTGTACGCCACAAAGGATCTCCATTGACTGCCAGTAAACATGCCAAGCGACTTGTTTCATAAGTTGTTTCTTGATGGAGTCTATTTTCCAAATGGCAAAAGAGATGCTTCTCTTGGTCTTTACCACCTGTTTTTGACCCAGGAATTCCTTTTGTTAACACGTCGAGACTGCAGACAAAGACGCGAAGTAATAAGAAAAAAAACAATACTTAAATTTTTCTTACGCAACTCCTTGTCCAAACATATCCGTTGTTGGAACAATAGTAACATAAGCCTCATCGGTTAAGTCGTTAACTAGTTTCCGATATGGATGATAATATAAGGTACGAACGCCTTTATCACAGACTTCCCACACGAGAAAGACCAATATATTAAATACCGAAGGACTTGCTGTATTGCTAGCTTGACACATGATCTATACATAAAATATAACTTTTTGATATAAAAACAAAGTATACGCTTTTACTTGGACTTTAATAAAAATAGGATTGCGTCCAGTGTCACTTTTGATTGTTGACTTCTTATCATGGTCTTCATCTCGCTGCTCGGCATGAATATCTCGAATAAAACTAATAGTTGGATTGGTATAATTGACTAATAACGACGATGGAGCCTGATATTTTCGAGTAGCTAGTGCTGAATTTCGAAATCGACCATCTGTAAAAGAAACGTTATTTACAAGAAACGATCCTCCTGAAAGATTTTACCACTGGTGCGAAGAACGTTTAGATGAACTTCTGGCTGCTTGCCATACGGACCCTGCTGGTTTATATAATCATCGTCGAAATCAAGCCATTGACTGCTATTTGGGCTCCAAATTTGAATGTCAAACGCATAAGTACCTTTCAACCATTGTAGAATCCATTGAGCAACATTGGACAATGAGGTTCCAGTACCGAATGTGTTGTTTATCTTTGTACGTTTATTCCCATCGGCATCAGTGTAGTGCACATTCGTTGTACAAGACATAATGAGTCGGATAACCCCGATTGACTTGTATTTTGGCTAACACACTGCTGCTTGTTTTTCTTTTGCATCAGCGTCGCATACACACACACATATATATATACCAAAAAAAACGGAAAAAATCCGTGTTGACACTACTGAAATAATCGCGTAGAAGGAACGAGATGTTATGATATTACACATTTCTATTTACATCATGTGGATTGACTCACTGAGTTATGGCCGTGTCAAAAGTTACAATAGATGTCAGTGAGATGAATGCGTATATGAGAAAGAAAACATGAAGGGTGAGACATAAGAATAAAGCGAAAATAGAAGAAAAGAAAAATGCGGCATTGTGGTTGGTGATCGATAGATACTATTTAAGAGAAGATGAACTTTAACAGCTTGCCGAGAAATGTGTCCATGTTCAGCTGATTATTACGCATCACTATTATTCCTGAGTAAGGTTTTCCTTTTTGCAGCTATGATGTGCATACTTTTCAAAGTAATGAATGGTCATGGCGCTCTTCGTTGACAAATAGCTGACTATGACCTCGAATTCGTAAACCTTGACGTTATAATCTGGCAAGGTACAGAATATTTTGTAATTCAATCGTCGAACACTTTTTAATGGCACTTGATTTCAACAAAGATTTTTGAATAGTTAGCTAGAATGAAGTTGACATTTTTGTCACAGACAAGATATATTATGACTGTATGAATATTTTCTCGAATGTACTCAATCTCACTCTTTTTCTCAGCTAGACGAGACCATTGGAAATGCCATCATCCATCATCATGATTTTTACATTCATTCGATGTAATCTGTGGTATTGTTCTATTCATATTCTTTACAGTCGTGCGAGAATGTGGAGTGAAAATGTTCATCACTTGTTAATGTCATCAATCAGAGAAGTTTTGTAAAAATGGATTTGATAGAGAAACGAAAAGATGAGATCGATTAGTTCTTTATGAAAGTAATTTACAACAAAAGACGAAGATTGAAAACCAACACTTATTTTATATGATTATTGAACTAGTTTACACTATAGAAAAACAGAATAGTTTCTTATTGTTCTTTTCTACGTAAAACGATTTTCAATTCGTAATAACCAACAACTGGCATTCACAATATATCGAGCTGTTCCTGCTGAGTCCCAATTGATATACAGTTTTGTAAATCCACAATCTAAGCATATTCGACCTTCATTCGCTGTAGAATTTGATGGTGGATCGTATACAGCAATACTGGTATTTCCGTCGCTAGCTGTTGCTATTGGAACGAACACTGTACGACTTGCACTTGTTGAATAAACCGGATGACAGATTGTGATACCTTCAAATAAATGTTTGATTCCAGTGAATATTTCATGTTGACCAAAGTGCCCTTTCTCTCGATGACCGTTCTCTTCATATGTCATATTGTTTCCACCACCATAGTTTCCCTCCACGGTGATTCCAAACTTTTTTTGAAGAAAGTCACTCGCGTGTCGAACCCATGGTGAATCGTCAGCAAATAGAAATATTGCACCGCCGTTAGAATGAAAATTGGCCAGAGATGGAATCATATTTGGATTCTTAATGCTCGAGTCACTTATAATCCATGCGACTTGATACTGATTTGAAGCAAGTTCTTTGACGCATTCATCTTCCGTCTTGATGTGTTTCACCTGAAATCCTTTCATTTTCAATTCATCGATTGGCTTTTGCATTGCCGCATCAGTAAACTGACAGTCACCGTAGAATTGTGCAATTAAGATGTTAAATCCCATGAATGCTCCATCTCTTCCAAGATCATATTCTCTTCCAACTGGATTCCAATGACAATCGTATGCTAAAGCATCAGTAATGTTACTCTTGCCCACAACGTCATTGTATGCTTGTGATGGTGCAGAAATAGTTGTATCATTACTGTTGATAGCTCTAGCATTAGATGAAGATAGACCTGTCCGTTGTTGTTTAGAAGTTCTTTTCTTTTGTTTGGTAACTCTCTTTCCTATAGCGCATGCTTTCGTGGTATCAGTATTTGATGATTGTAATTGACGTGCTAAAGTGGCTCGAGTTATCGCAACCATGTCTGAATAGAAATGAACAGATAAAATATGCCGCAAGTTCAAGTTGTAAAATGAAATATGTTGAATCAAACAGAAAACTGAGTCTTTATATATTACAGAAACGGCATGATTGCTATTATTAAAAGATAATGTCACAATCGTACATATCAATTGTGCAATGACACATTATTGCGCGAATTTCACATTGTTCCGTAGATGTGGCTATTGTATGAACATCTGCTCTACGCCAACATCCTCACGCCTCAATATAAAAAGCATACAGGTCTATAAAGATACGTGTTTCAGTCAAACATTTCTCGATTTCATCGCTGAGTGGACAATTAGAACCGATGATGAGACCACCAGATGGATACTTGTTTGATCCTTGCTCTTTAACGGTGATAACAGCCGATCACGTCTTACATCATTGATTCCTTTGGCATGTCTACATCGATTGTATGTGATCATAATCTTTATCGTATGAATCAGCAGGGAAACGCGGTAGAGTTAATTACCAAAGATTATATCCGTTTCCAAAGCGTTTCAACAAGTAGACTGCTCATCTTACTGACGATCAGTTTACAACTGTTCAAGGAAGCTATCGGATGCATTGATATTTGTCGAGGACAAGATCGTATCGAATCATTGAATATTTTTCGTGACCTTTTTCTCCGTGAGAATGGCGATCTTTAGACACTTGAATGTCTGCGCGCCATATGTCATCAAAATAAGAGATTTTATCGTAGAAGATTTGATCGGTCAAAACACACGAATTGTTTATTTATCAATATGATTTTTTTTTACAAAATTTCCAATAGATTATGAACATAGATTTTTCCGTTAATATCAAAACGAACGGAGAGAGAAAAAACGAAAACAAGTGAAATCTTCTAATTATATATGTATAACAGTAGGAAATGGAGCATCTTACTGCTTTAGCACCACTTGTTCAGTTTCCGGCTTTATCGATAATAATTCATTAATAAACGATTGTATATTCTCGAAATAGTCTCTCATCACTGGCAAATCGTTATGTTTACCAAATGGAAATTCGTATAGTTGCCGTTTACTTGAAAGATGTGTTTCATTATATAAAGTATTTGACATCCACGTTGGAATAAGGGGATCAAGTAAACCAGTTAGATAGATACACGGGCATTCGATACGCCCTACTTTAGCTAATGAATCGAACAGATAAAGAAAGCCAATTGATTTTGTTACACCAAGAACACTTTTCGCATATGTTAAGAAATACTTGGCGACTTCAGGCACGGAGATAAAAGCATTTTCGAATATAGCAACTTTAACACGATTTGATGGATCACTAACAAGCTGAATGGCAACTGATGCTCCGAGACTTGTGCCAAGCACGAGAATGTTCTCCGGCAAAATCTTCTGTTTATAAATTAGATAATCATATGCCGTTTGTGCATCTATGTACAAGCCAAGCTCTGATGGTGTTCCAGTACTTTTCCCGAATCCTATGAATGCATTCAATGAATCGTTTTATTACTTTGATGCACGACTTTTTACCTCGATAGTCAATAACTAAAATATTACATTGAAGATTCTCGTAGAACAATTGCAAAACTTCAAGCCGATGAGAGATATTTCCTCCAGCACCATGAAAATACAAAAGTGTCACTGTATCATTAACATCGCCTGACTGATAAATCCAGTATGCATGAATGAATTCGCCATCGAATGTTTGTAAATAGATCGACTGATAATCCATGCGATATTCATCTGGTGTTTGATCTAAGATATGCGTATTTTCCGGTTCATCATTAGAAAAAATATGTTTGTTCTGCAAATTTTCCGTCATTTTACCTATTCGAACAGTAAATGCAATAATTGAGGAAAACCGAAAACGTATTTTTCTTACCAAATAAGCCTTTATCCTTTCGTACACATGAATGAATATAATCGAGTTGTTTTAATAATTGATGTTCACCTTCATCTACATTCGATGTTGACATTCGACAACGTAATGCATGAATATCAATTATTTCGGCATCTGTCGGGGGTAATGATTGTGGTCTTGAAAATGTAATATTTCGTCGATTATGAGAATTATTACTAGTGAAACAATTGTTCGTATTACGTGCATATTCTCGTAAACTACGTGACTTCTTTAACGACGGATACGGTGATTTGGTTTTTGAAGCACGTAGCGATCGATGTACAGACAGTTGGGGTAAAGAATTTCCCATTGTTGACGGACAGAGGATCTGAAAAAGAAAAAATGCTTATCATTATGATCATCTAAGTATTCTGTTTTGTCGAGGTCACGTTTTCTTCTCCGACTGAGCTATGCCATAATTTTTTTATCTCTACCATCGGCATAGCCGTATAAAAGAAAAAGGATCATCACATATATATATATATTCGCCGTTGGTAAATAAACAGAGATCAGTCAGTAGTAACTTCAATCAACACATAGTAATCAATGCACAAATGAGAAAAAAACGGGAATGGAAGGAAAAAGAACAGATCATAATTTGTATAAATAACTAACATTGATATGAAATCAGACGGATGAACAGCATGAAGTTACTGTTGTTATTCCTATAATATCAATAAATAACCAACTACTCATCAAGCTGTTATGTGCGATGGGGCTAGATATATCGTTGCTTCACTCTCTCTCTCTCTCTCGTCTAATACCGCATTTTCCTCTCACTGTCTTTTTTCATTCACCCATAAGCACGTACTACAACTCCCTCTCTTCGTTTCTCCTTCCCTCAAGACGACGTGTTACCATTTTTATAAGCCTTCTTTTTCTTTTCTTGCTAACNTTTACCTCGATAGTCAATAACTAAAATATTACATTGAAGATTCTCGTAGAACAATTGCAAAACTTCAAGCCGATGAGAGATATTTCCTCCAGCACCATGAAAATACAAAAGTGTCACTGTATCATTAACATCGCCTGACTGATAAATCCAGTATGCATGAATGAATTCGCGATCGAATGTTTGTAAATAGATCGACTGATAATCCATACGATATTCATCTGGTGTTTGATCTAAGACATGCGTATTTTCCGGTTCATCATTAGAAAAAATATGTTTGTTCTGCAAATTTTCCGTCATTTTACCTATTCGAACAGTAAATGGAATAATTGAAGAACATCGAAAAGGTATTTTTCTTACCAAATAAGCCTTTATCCTTTCGTACACATGAATGAATATAATCAAGTTGTTTTAATAATTGATGTTCACCTTCATCTACATTCGATGTTGACATTCGACAACGTAATGCATGAATATCAATTATTTCGGCATCTGTCGGGGGCAATGACTGTGGTCTTGAAACTGTAATATTTCGTCGATTATGAGAATTATTACTATTGAAACAATTGTTCGTATTACGTGCATATTCTCGTAAACTGCGTGACTTCTTTAACGACGGATACGGTGATTTGGTTTTCGAAGCGCGCAACGATCGATGTACGGACAGTTGGGGTAAAGAATTTCCCATTGTTGACGGACAGAGGATCTGAAAAAGAAAAAATGCTTATCATTATGATCATCTAAGTATTCTGTTTTGTCGAGGTCACGTTTTCTTCTCTGACTGAGCTATGCCATAATTTTTTATCTCTACCATCGGCATAGCCATATAAAAGAAAAAGGATCATCATATATATATATATTCGCCGTTGGTAAATAAACAGAGATCAGTCAGTAGTAACTTCAATCAACACATAGTAATCAATGCACAAATGAGAAAAAAAACGGGAATGGAAGGAAAAAGAACAGATCATAATTTGTATAAATAACTAACATTGATATGAAATCAGACGGATGAACAGCATGAAGTTACTGTTGTTATTCCTACAATATCAATAAATAACCAACTACTCATCAAGCTGTTATGTGCGATGGGACCAGATATATCGTTGCTTCACTCTCTCTCTCTCTCTCCCTCTCTAGTCTAATATCGCATTTTCCTCTCACTGTCTTTTTTCATTCATCCATAAGCACGTACTACAACTCTCTCTTCGTTTCTCCTTCCCTCAAGACGACGTGTTACCATTTTTATAAGCCTTCTTTTTCTTTTCTTGCTAACGGCATTAAACAAAATGAATGTTTGTCTCTTGTTAGTAACAACATTAGGCATATGAAGTATGTCCTATAATACTAATGACCATCTCTAAAAAAAAAAAGTTAAAGAATCTTCATTTCTTTCCGTCTAGACATCGACTGCCATGTTCTATTAACTTCCGGCTGACATGAAGAATTAACTTCATCAAATGTTGAAATTGTTCGATAAATGAAACCTGATATACTCAATCATGCTGATAAATCTGTCTAATAAAAAAACAGAAGAACGAGAAACTAAATGTCATCAACTATGTTCGATTTACCTCGTTTTTTTGATTCTGTTAAGAAACATAAAAGAAAATAATTTATGTTCTGAAGATGCGGAGAGAAAGAAAGAAAAAGCCTTCTATCATAATTACTCTCTTGTGTAGACAGAGCACATACACACATCTCCTATCGCACATTCGATGAGTGAATGATGACCATGTTCATTTTACGGTCATAAACAATTTTATATGTACAAGCGCAAAACGATTAATAATGATGAACATCGAACGCCCTTTTACTCTTCAATGTTGTGATATCTAATTTGAACAAATGTCTTAGATGTACGAGTGCGTTTAAAGCAATGATAAATGTGTAAGATAAAAAGAAATCAGTGCAAAAGACGTTGTACTTAATGGATACAAGTAAAAATAGAAGACTTGCTGACGAGCGAAATTCTTTCTGTTTTTCTTCTCCAATCGACTTGCTGAGTGTTCGGATAAGTTCTACATTGTAATTAACTGTTGATGACTTCGAAGTTTCTCATATTATAGATGCCGAAGTAAATTGTGTTTTAATTAGATTTGGTGCCTTTTTTGCTCGGCGAAGTCTTCTGATAATAGATAAATACTACGTTGACAAGATCATCTTTGTTCTTTTCTTTCGAATAAATGATGTGCGAAAAGGAAAACATTTGAATATGTCATGCCATATACTTCACTAGTCTTCCATGGATGTAATTATTGAATAAGATTTTGACTTTACCGATGAGAACATTCTTAACATCACAGAGTTTTGTATTCTTTGCTCGACGAACGGCATGTTTCCAAACCGAGCATCTTTCCTCCTCAAGAAAATGGCGTCAAACTTTGTCAAAGAACATGCGACAAGGTCAAATGGAAATCGAAAGAGTGTATATATATATATATACATATACATGCGTCGTGCATATCTTTGATGACTAGATTTGAAATGAAGCAGAAATCGTTTCTTTTTTTTTGGAGTAGTTCTTCAAGGAGAAGAGATTCTTAAATTATATATATGATGAGAAAAAGGAATGAGATGAAGAAATAAGAAAAAGAAATGAAAGAAGCTAATTGATATCCTGATGTTAGTTTAAATATCAATTCGCAGCTCGAAAGTTGCTCGAGTGACTTCCTCTCGTTATACTGCTGGGTACAATGATATAGATGTCCACATAAGATGGAAAATATTTTGGCGGAAACAGTTCTTTGATTGCATAATATAACTTTTCCATGCAGCTGATAATATGTCAAATCATGTTCTACATGATTGAGACATATAATGACATGATTCGATCACGTTCTCACAGATCCAATATTGACGAGAGATGCTTCCTGCGATAGTCATCGACAAGTTCAACAAACTATTTGAAATGATGAACGCAACAACAACAAAATCCGTTGAACAAACACTGTCCTTGATCAGTGAGAGTGAAGAAGAGGAAACAACATCACTATTTTTTCTCTTGTAATGCATCAAATAGTCGTGCAAGGTCATTCGCATGTATTTCTAATCAAGAAGTATAATCACTTCTCTCGATCATTTACCGAAACTTTATAGACATTACATGGTCATTTGATAATCTCAGCGATCTACTCACGCTATTTCTGAAGTATATACAAACGACAGTTTGTTTATGAGCGCGAGGGGGGGGGGGAGCGAGCAGACTAAGACAAAATTAGCATCGCCGTGAAGTTTGTATTGAAATGTTGCCTTTAGGATTTACGCTAGATAGAATTTACATTTTCACTTGCCATTGAAAAACACGATGTTGTTCCAAGTAGGCTAGAGATAGTTCACACGCATAGATTTATTTATGATTACAATTGTAAAAGAAAACTAGATTTATTAGCTATGTACGCATGCACACACAAATTAGGAACAAAAGAAAAAAAGATCATGCTTAAGTTCAGTGGCAGACAAGTTATTCTTTATCCGTAATAGCTTTCTTTGAAGTATAACGAAGTTCATCGGTATCTTTTTCACCAAGACATACAGTACGAACAATGATGTTGGTAACAGCATATGGATCACAATTGGATGCTGGTCGACGGTCTTCTAAATAACCACATTTCTCTTCGCCAACTTGCCGAGGTATTCGTACAGATGCGCCACGATTAGCAATACCAGCATTGAATTGATTAATCTAGAATTTGATGATTCAATATGATTGATGTTTTAGCAGTGAAAACTTACATTGGCTGTTTCATGTCGACCAGTCAATCGTCGGTCATTGTCTCGACCATAAACACTGATATGTGTTTTATGACGAGCTTTCAATTGTGTGATTGCGGTATCAATAGCTCTACGTGAATGGCAAACAGTCACATATTTAGTGACAATTAAAAAACAGAACTTACCCGATACCGTTTGCATCTCGCATTGCTTTTGTTGAAAAGTTCGTATGGCATCCGGCACCGTTCCAGTCACCTGCAACAGGCTTTGGATGGAAACTCACTTGGACACCAAATTCCTCTGCAATGCGAAGTAATAAATATCGCGACATCCAAAGTTGATCACCAGCAGCAATGCCTTCACATGGTCCAACCTGATACTCCCATTGTGCAGGCATAACCTCGGCATTAGTTCCGCTAATATTAATGCCAGCATACAGACATGCTTTATAATGAGCTTCTTCAATATCTCGACCAAGTGCTTGTGATGCACCGACACCACAATAGTATGGGCCCTGTGGGTGTGGAAAGCCACCTTTGGGCCAACCAAATGGCCAACCATCACGATCGAGAAGTGTATATTCTTGTTCCATGCCAAACCATGGATGTTGATTAGCCGCGGCTTTCATTGCTGCCTCACACTCAATTCGTTTGTTCGATGCTAAAATTAGAGACTTTTGTTCTATCATAAGATCGTTTTGAAATCTATATCTAACCTGTTGGTTCCTTGTTATATTTATATGTTTCACACATAATAAGTTTGTTTCGTCCGAGCATGAATGGATCATTAAAAATGGCAACTGGTTTAAGATAAACATCAGAGTTTGAACCTTCGGCTTGATCAGTAGATGAACCATCGAAATTCCACCATGGTAAATCTTCTGGTGATTTTGGTTCATGATCAACTGTTCGAGTTTTACCTAGATAGAAACGTTTATCGCTACACAAAACATCACAATAGAATTAATTCGTCACCTCGAAGATTTTCTCCTGTACCATCAATCCAAACATAAGTTGCCATAATCTTATTATCTGGTTGCGGTAGTTCTAAATACCGACGAAGGACACCTTTATCCATGCCAGTTGTATTGGCAAAGATTGGATTCATTGAAGTTAGCATGGTGAACAAAGAAGTCAAGCGTGTGTGTGTGTGCGTGTGTGAATGTATACTTATTCGAGATTGTCGATGTTTATATATCACCGTGACGTTTCGATGCGGACGAACAAGTTAAGAGAAGAATAACAATCTGAGTTCGTTTTTTTTTCTTCTTCGTCGTATCCTTAGGGTTCAATTTTTCACAATGCGAGCACACATTCAACGTTCGTTATGCACGTACTTTTTGCGTTCTTCATATCGAGAATAAAAGTTGAAATGAAACATCCATCAGATATCGAAATGACTACTGTATGGACGACAGGAATAGTTTGATCCAGGCCCTAAGATAGTTGTTATTCTTTCTTCTTATCAATTACTAGCTTGTGTGTATGTTTCGTTAAATATTAAAACAAACATCGTCTGTTATTTTTAAGATTTTACTCCAAAATGGAATGTGTTACATCATAAACAATCATCTCGAATTGACTGTGTTTAGAAGTTATTTATTCATAGATTGAACCGTATTTTTTTCTCGCATTTATACGGTTTCCTTTGTTAATTGTTAGACATTTAAGTATATAGTAGGAACAATATACATATCATTTACTAAATAGTTCAGTAGAAAAGAAAAACATCATTCGTGACTAAAAGCGAAGACAGACGAGTCGTCTAGCGATTAAAAGATGAAGACTAGCTTCATCGTGTTTTATAAATAGTCTTATCCAGTAAATACTATATTTGGTTGAATATGGCTTTCTAAATAGTCAAAGAAAAAAAATCGATCTATGATCAATACTTTTAATAATGACAACTTACCACGCACGCAACTTGGTCTCTCAGCTGGCAACCATCGACCATGGACACATGTCAAACCAGTTG